CATCCTATTTTTCTTCTCTCTGATTTCCCCTAATTTTGTTCTAAATCTGCATTTCAAGAAATTACAGAGGAAATCTGGCACATGGACTTCGGCAAGTATGACACTGTTTTAAAAACCATTCTAAACCACTCTAATATTTTACAGTTTATAGGGGTAACAACTGGGTAAGACTGTTGAGGATGTTTCCATTCAATGGCTGGCATAGCACCTTGCAGTAATATGAGAGATAAGCAATAGGAAGAAAACTTCTTGTGACTACTCCATGTCCTATGACCAATGTGTATGATGTCTTCAGCACTAAGATCTTACTTTCAAGTTTGGTAGACAACCAGGAGCAAAGGCAATAGGTTGTACTGTTTGGGGTTTTCTCTGGGACACTTATGATCAACAACTCAAGGGGAAACATCCTACACAGGCACTGAGCTTTTTATATAGCAACCTATAGCTTCTGAGATGCTCATAACCACCTTGATAGGGTAACTTAAAGTAGACTTTTTATAGGAACATAAATATTACAAACTGCTTTTCAAAGATCCTTAGAGTTACTTATTTTTCCCCAACCTTCTATTTTGTCATCACTCCCCCCACTTAAATGGCATAGCAAGGCAAGATATGTTCATGAGTATAATAATGGCATAAATATGATGGGAATAATCAATCACTTTTTTATTTGAATTTAAAGCCTATTGCAGGATATTTGATCATACTATGAACCTTGAGTTTGCATTAATTAAATAAAACCTAGGGTCAGGAGGTAGAGCCAGCAACTACTTGAAAGGAAGTAGCCAAAGAGAGTTAGAGGGAATCTGGAAAATGGATGGAGAAATGCACAGGAAGTAGTAGGGAGGGACTTTATAAGTTGGCAGTCTTTTTTTTATTTGGGACAGAAGAAAACACCCTTATCTTACTGGGTCACTGGCTAAGGAGAAAGGTCAACTGGTTGCTTCTTGACCTCTCTGAGCTAGCAGGTTTTCACCCCAGTATCGGATTCCCAAGTCCTTATTGCTAAAATAGAATGATAGAGACTTAGTTAAAAATTACATTTGACTGCAGAGACAGAGGTGGTTCCAGTGGGATGCAGAAGTCCCACCTGGCCTTGACCTGAGCAGCAGGGCACTGGTTTTGGAGCCAAAGTCAGTAGCTGAAACAGCAGAGGATTCAAATGCAGTCACTGTGCTGACAATAAAACAACAAAGGCCTATTTCGTTGTATAAAACAAATACCTGGTACTGCAAATCTGTCCAAGAACTCATGTTTGGGGAGCTCGCAAGTCCCAGGGGTAAATCTATTATTATTATTATTTTCTAAATGGACATGGCATCAAGCCACTCTTTAAATGTGTATCTCACTCTACCCATGGTGCAGCTCTAAGACATTATCAGATAAGTTTATTTTTGTAGTAGATGACAGATGCAGAAACTTACAAGTAATCAAAGTTCAGAGAATAAGTGACTGTTAAATGCTCAGCCACAAATGGGGCATATATATCACATCACCTCTCAAATTGCAGGGACCATCAAGAAAGAAGGGACAGATTTTAGGAGGCAGAAGTTAAGAAGAGCCTGAGTAAAAACTCTTCCAGACAAGGAAGGACCTCTGTACCTGTGAATTAAAAGTAGTTGTGGTTGCCTCCATAATATCAAGTCAGCAACATTCTAACACAGTGTGGGAAGGGTTGATGAGCCCACCTGTGGTACTGTGGACAGCTGATACCTTCTGGAGGCGAGAGAGTCAGTTTTCTTTAAGGGTAGATTGAGCACATTCCAGTGGATGACCTCACCTCTTAAGTATATGAACAGCTCAAATTGGAATTGGTTGGTTATTAAATTTAAAACAAGAGGAAAGAAGGATGGTGGGAATAGGAAAGCAAGGGTGGGGCTGAGAAAAGTTAAGTGGAGGATTTGGAGTAAGTATTGTTTTAAAACTTTACAAAATTATTAAAGAATTAATAGAAATATTTTAAATTAACGCAGGCATATATTATCAATTCTAAAATTCAGTTGAGATATAGTTGATCCCTCCCCCAAAATAAAAACCAATATTTTTAAGGTTTTAACCTATGTTTATAAAGAATGAGTTAGAACTAAGGGAATTTATAACTAACAATCAGTTCATTGACTTACTGATTCTCCTAGAATTTCTCTAGATTTGCTTTTCTGTTAGCTAATTTTAACTGAGACATACATCTTTGACTCTCACTTCAAGATCTAGAAAAGGAAGTGATCTTAAATGTAGACATGGAAAAGCAGTGAAGGCAGTTGAGCATCTACTAAAACAGCCCTATTTTCCACCCAATTTCTTTCACATGTGGTGAGAGGAAAAAGTAATTTTTAGATTCCAATGTGCATGGTCCTTTGATGATCCAAAAGTAGACCACATAAAATAGAAGTACTAGGCAGACCACATGGTCCTACCCAAACAACCTGTCAGAATGCACTTGCAGAGGCAGGATGATTGAAACAAAATTCAAAGCCTTATCCACATCTACATGTGGAGGGACTCTGCCTCCTTCAACCATGTCCTTGTGGACTACACCAGGTTCCAGGAAACCTTTGTTCAGTAGTATGGTGTGATTAATAATGTGGAATGTCACAGGAAGTGTGGGTGCCTATAGAATGTTCTCCACCTTACCACTGATAGCAATATTCTCCAAGGAATCACTATTAAGACAGACAATGCAGGTATAAGTGTGGGCATATTAATACATAGAAAAGAAATGAAGAGAGGGTAATAAAGAGATGATGAAGCACACTGGAATGGAGTCAAAAAGACGTAAGTCCTAAGATGATAGAAAGCTTTTTTCTCCTAACTTCAACTCATAGTTGCAAGTCAGTGTTCTCCTCATGCTGCTCCTCCTCCCTGTAGCATATCTGTGAATTCAACTGTCTTTATCCTGAAACAATAAGACCTGTGTTTGTATTCCTAAATTTTTCCAGCATGTATTGGTCCTTTCAGACAATGAGACTGAAAGTTAGGTTTGCTTTTTAATGCCATTGCCATTGTCAATACCAATTAATAACCACTGAATACACTTGTCACAGTGACCTACATAGAAAAAGTGATTGGAAAAAAATTTTTTGTTCCGGGGGCGGTATTGTAGCCTAAATTTTTCCCTTTTATCTTCTGTTACAACTATATCAAATCATCCTATTATAGTGTTATTTAATATGTAAAATACATTGCAATACATAAGCATGGTTTTGGAAAGTTGTAACATACACAAATATACTAGAGTTGATCAATATGATCAACAAGGAAAAAACCTTCAACCGCAATATCAATGAATAAAAAACAGAGGCCAACAGCTCTATTTAGTTTTGTTTGATTGGTTGGTTTTGTTTTGTTTTGTTTTTTGTTTTTTTAGTTAGTTCCTATCAACAACTCTGAGGTGCTATAAACATTTTAGATTCCTCTGTATTTTTAAGGCTGTTGGCCTAGACCTGTGGGGACACAAAGCTAGAAGCAAACAAAGTGATGTAAACACCCCTTAAGTCATACTTTCTTCCTCTTGCTGTCTTCTTCCAAAATGCTGCTTCTTGCATCCCCTCCACAGCACAGTGTGAGCCCATATTTTACAGTCACCGATTCACAGAAAGCTAGAACTCATGTATATTCTGGGATGAAAAAAAGTTCATGTTGTAGCAATAGAGATGACACAAATTATCACCAGGCGTGGGTGTGGTGCATACATATTCAGGCAAAACACCCACACACATATCATAAATAATTTAATGAAAAACAACAACAATGAAAACAATGATCTAACAGTCTTAGCTGGGAATGTGGCTTAGTTGGCAGAGTGCTTGACCAGCACTATCAAGCTCTGAGCTTCGATCCAAAGCGCAGCATCAAATTGGGCATGGTGGTAATGCCTGTACCCCAGCACTCTGGAGACAGAGGCAGGAAGATCAAAAGTTCAATGTCACCTTAGTTAAACAGTGACTTCAAGGCCAGTCTAGGCTACAAGAAACACTATCTTAAAGAATAATTTAGCAGTCTGACTCCAAATAATCTTTAATGATATTTAAAAAAAACATACATTCACCATTCAGTTCTCTTGTTCGTTACAGATTTTTATGTCATAGTATTCCTTATCCAGAAAATCGTGCCTCTAGTAAAGATCACCTCCTCTCCATGTAAATAACATGCATTCTACCGGTTCCTGAACTTCTCTCATTCTTGAATGTCTATCCTCAACCATCGTACTCAGTTTTACCCTCAGCATTTAAAATAGAATCCTGCCTTCCTGTGAAACTTGCACATAAATAATCTTTTCTTTCCCTTGAATTCCACATGAAACCATAGTAATAAGGGTACAGGGAAGACCCCACCCACAGTTCCATTTCCTTCTGTCCCTATCCGCATCTGCAAGTAATGCTGGGAGGTGCAGCAGGATATAGGAAGCTGAAGGTTGACCCAAGGTAGGGCTCTCTCTAGGAATGATAGGATGATATTTTGTGGTGATGCAACTGTTTGGGGGTCATCCTCATTCAAGAGAGTAAGCTGCTCCCTATACATTATATCTGGGGAAACCCACAGGAACAGCAGACCTGAGCAAGTGGAAGCTCATGGACCCCAGCCAGACAGCTGGGGAACCAATATCAGACCAAACCAGGGCCTCTGAGCTTGGGTCACAATTAGGAGGCCTGGGCAGTTTATGGAGCCTCTTGCGGTGGAAGCAGTATTTATTTATTCCTAGTGCACGAATGGACTTTGGGAGCCCATTCCCCCATGGATGGATACTCTCTCAGCCTAAATACACAGGAGAGGGCCAATGATCTGCCCCAAATGATGTGACAGACTTTAATGATCCCTCACTCTCCCTGGGGAGTGAATGGAGAGAGGGAGGGGTGCTCCATGGGGGATGGGAGGGTGGGAGACAGAAGGAACTGGGATTGATATGTAAAATAAGATTGTTTCTAATTTAAATTTCAAAAAGTAGATAAATAAATAAAATAAAAAATAAAAGGCGAACAAAACATGCTTTAACATGGACTCACCCACTGCCTGTGTGTTAAGTAACAACTTCTTCAACTATGGGCTGTGACCTAAGATGGAATCACATAATTAATGTGAGGGTCATGAAAAATCTGGGAACAGTAAAAGTTTTCTGAATGTGCAACAGCCCAAAATGAACTCAGAATCAAATCCATGAAGCCAAATGGGTGCTGAGAATCAAACCCAGTACTTGAGCATTGAGCACTCTCTCCAGCCCCAAAATTTAAGGTTTTTATGTAAAACTACACAAACACAACCATCTCATTAGATGAAATTTCTTTTATGTTAATAAGCGGTTAAGTTGTATGTGTGGCAAAGAATTACTTTAAGATAAATTTATTTGTGATTTACTATCAGCATATGTCTCATTAGTGCATTAGTGACACTAACCACAGCTCAGGGTTGATCCTCACACTGCGTGTCTAGTATACATTCCTACATACACGGGGGTCACATAGGAATCTCTCATATAGAAAAAGACAGCAAAAAAAAAAAAAAGGCGTTAAGAAGCCCTGACTGAAGTCTATAAGACTGTTCCTCCGACTAACAGTGAACTGTGGGCTTGGCTGAGAGCATTCTCTAATGACTTAGTTTTGGCACAGTATCAAACACACAGTATTTTGCTCCAGCATAACAAATACTCCACATCTACATGTAGATGAATTGGAAAGACTGTGTGTGCTGCAGCTACCCAAGGGCTTTGTGAAGGCCTCACTAGATTTTCAACGTGAAATTAGAAGCTGACAATTATAATCACTGAGAACTGGACACACTTTTATTTTCTCGAAATAGCTTCAGACCCACTTTGGAATCTAAAGATCATGATCAACAGACCTCTACACTGAACCTTCAAATGGATCCCTTGAGAATAAGGACACATGAATGAATGGAGGAGGTGATATGTTCCGTCCTTTCTAAGAAACAGGAGTCCTGGCTTTCCATGCTGTGCAATCAGAGTTCGCCCCTACTGTATGCTTACCACTGCAGGCAGACGTGGTTTTGTGAGTACAGGTACAAGACTCATTGCAGTCACCCTCCAGCATATGCATGTGGTTCCTGCCATTTAAGAAGCATCCAGTGGGGTGGGAGAGATGGCTTAGCAGTTAACAGTACTGACTGCTTGGTCAGAGGACCTGGGTTCAACTCACAACACCCACATGGCAGCTCACAACTGTCTGTAACTCCAGTTCCAGGGGAACCAATACCCTCACACAGATATACATGCAGGCAAACACCAATGCTCATAAAATAAAATTAAAAAATTTTTTTTCTAGCAAACATGGCAGCCATTGTATGGAATAGGTCCCTATGGAGGAAACAAGTTTAGACCTAGCAACATTCAATATTAGTGAAAAGTCACAGTGTCTGAAACGACACACATCCAGACAGAATTCTAGACATGAAAGTAAATAGACTATATACCCAGACAGAATATGAAACAATTTACCAGTATGATATCGAAAAGAGCAACCAATATACATTCACTGCACAATGGCCAAGACACTATAAAAGTAATTTGCTACATAATTCTATAATCAGAATTACTGTTCAGTGGCACAGATATAGGAACATCCAAACTTACTCTTGCAAAACACATGAGGAAACTAATGAAAACTCTGGAACAAGTTTCCCAGGTTCAAATGCTGGCTCTGCTTCTTATGAGAGGTGCACCTTCTTATAGCCAATGTCTTCTCCAGAGCTCACTAAGTTTCCTCAATTGACAAATGAGGGTAAAGAAATGGCTATTCAAATGAGATAGGGGAAAGCTGGCAGGTGATACCCAGGAAGTTCTTTCAGCATAGTTGAGAGAACAAGAAGTCCTGGGTCCTTAGTGATGCTGGTGTATCCCTGTGATCTAAGTAAAAGGCCTATCCCGAATGCTGTAGCTGCAAAACAAAATTACCACAATCTCCACTGCTCTCTCTGTAACTCTGCTTGGTGGCATTGCATGGATTTCTCGCTGAAAAGGGAACTGAGAAGGCTTGATGGGTGAGTTCATTTAAAGCAAATACGGCAAGCACTAAATCCCATCTGTCTCCTGCAGGGAAGTGAAATGGCAATTTTAGACAAGCAATAACTTTTGCTGGGAAATCCAGTAAACCATCTAATTTTTGATTTTCATATTGACATATCTGTGGAGTCATGGGCAGGTGCGACATTGTCACTTACTTGCATAGGTTCTCCATATTTGAATCTGCATGCGCTTCAACACTTTTATACAAGATACAGAGGTCACTCTATCAAGAACCACTCTGAACATGAAACACATTATGTCTTTCTCTGCTTCCCAAGTCAAAAAAGAAAGACGCCACACAAGATAAACTCAAGTTTTAAAATCCTTAGTTCATACTGTACAAAAAGGTGGAAAACACTTTCTATCTTGTTACACATTTTAAAAACTTCTCTTAAAATGATGCATTCAAAAAGTTATTTCACTGTCAAATGAATATAAATTAATTCAACGAAAGGTGTCATTTAAGGAAAGATCTGAATCTTGTTTCTCTCTGTAAGATTCCCTGCTTACTGTAATGTTTCCCTTATTATGTGTTTTTCCCTTCCAGTCTCTTTCTTCATCTTTACGATTCATTGTCAAGCACGCTTATGATTCATCCCTTTCTTGCACTTTTTGAGTGTCTTCAGAAATAGCTCCTCCCTCGTCATTGTCACTGGACAGTTAATCTGGTGGTGGATAATCCCACCTGTTAAAGATCAGTGCCGTTAATCTCTGAGTGAAAAGTAACAAGCCATCCCACCCTCCTGTGCCTTGGTCCTTCAGGAAGGGTGGAGATTTTGCTGACTGATGATAACGTAAAATTGAAGTGACAGAGTGTGAACTGCAAAGTTAATCCATCTTCCAGTCAGTGTGCTCAAGTCACTGCTGTCCAAGGGAACCTTGACCCCATCCTCGGTGAAGACCCAGGGCCAAGTTCCCATTGCTGTCACCTCCTGCCGCAGCAGTGGGAGAAAATGGGTGTGAATAAATTGTTTTGTAGCGTGTCACATCCTGAAAGGGCCCTTAGTATCTTCATAATGTGTAAAATACATGTTCTCATAAATGTAATAAAATGTGCTTGTATACAGCAATGTATAGAAACATAAACACCTTTATAGCCAATAAACTTTAGTGTGAATTCTATTATTTCATAAAGAAAATGACATCCTCAAATTTTAATTTGGTCTGACTAGTACATTCTAACTATCATGAAAAATGACTGAATTATGCAGGAAAGGTTATGCCCAGACTATTGAAACATGCTTCCCTGTATGCTATCATTGTTTTTTTTTTCTACACAAGGATAACCACCAATATGTCAACTTTTCAACCTATGTTTATCTTCAAAGGCCTTAGCATTTATCTTCCATTAAACTAAAAGAGATCTTCAGAGAATTCAGCTAGTTCTTTTCCTATAAATGTGTTGACCATAGACAAAACTTGGGAATGTTAGCACCTTAATATGAATTTGACAGAAGGCTGGTCCTTTGGATACAAAAATAAACACTTCATGCAGACAAGATGGTTAAACAGACAAAGGCCCTGTTGACAAACTTGACAGATTCCCCAGTGCCCATACTGTGGAAGAGAAGTGACTCCCATAAACATGGGCCTGTGGTGCATGCCCACCCACCCAGGGAGAGAGAGAGAAAGAGAGAGAGAGAGAGAGAGAGAGAGAGAGAGAGAGAGAGAGAGAGAGAGAGAGAGAGAGAGAGAGAGAGAACTACTTTGACATTTAAGCACATGAATTTGGCATTAGTCTGGAGTACACATACTAATGTCTGTGGAATAAAAGTTTGGTCTCTGACCACTTGTGTAGCCTCCCTACATTCTAACCCTCGGCCATGCCACTTGCTGGCACAGTCCCCACAGGTGCCCTGTGAACTCTGCAGTGGCTGAATGAATGGAACTTACCCCACTTCGTCTTGCCTTGTCCAGGTCACTGAACCCAATCTTCACAATGAATCACTTTATAAAGGCATTTGTGTTTTAAAGTAAAGCAGAGGAAAGACATTAAATCTTTCTCAATGGTTCTTCCATTGGTTCATAACTTACTCAAAGAGCAAGATAGATAGGCCTCTTTGTGAAGGAGATCAAGTTTGAGGTAGGCTAAGTGTGGCACTTCTGAAATCACTTTCTGGTTACCTTTTATTTATCCCGGCCATCTACAGAACACCTGTATCTTCATCCTGAAGCACCTGATTCTTTCATCTTGGTCTCCTTCTATCCATTTGTCCTCCATGATCTCCCTATATAGCCTTCACTGTGACTTTGTATTCTATGCCACAGACCAGACCGCCATTTTCTAAACTCTAAAAATAGACTAATGCTTACTCATTATGGTTTAAATACAGACTAGTTGTATTCCGAAGGGTCTGTGTATCAAGACTATGTTTTTCAATGTTCTATAGTACGAGGTGGCAAGACCTTTATATATGGGATCAAGTAGGAGGCCACTAGACCAGAGCCTGTCTGTCATTCTCTGACTTCTGTCTCTCCAAGAAATCTCTCTTGCATGTCACCATGACACCAACTACCATGAGGACCTCACCAGAGCCAATGTTATGCCTTTGAAACTCCCAGAACTGAGAACTAAATAAACCTTTTGTCTTTAGAAAGAACTCAGCATCAACCATGTTACTATATTAATAGGCAGTAGACATTAATAAAATATTGACTTAAATTATAAACATTCATGATTATATATATTACGCACCTAAAATCCTTCATGGATACCAAAATTCACAAATCTCTTACATCAAGTGGAATAGTATTTGTATGCATACTTTGCCCACCTTCTTGTATACCTTCTCTGATCTCTAGATGGTTAATAATATGTAGCACAATATAAGGGCTGTGTGGGTCATTGTCATATTGTCATGCTTAAAGAAGAAGGACAGGAAAAGAAATCTTCACAAGTTCACCATTGACATAATTTTTCCCTGTATATTTTTTACCTATAGCTGGCTGAACATGCCTGTGAATATGGAGAGCTACGTTTATTATATTTTCATAATTCATGCAAACATAGCTAGGAATAAATTGCTCAAGCTTGGA